TGGTTTGAACCACCTCTCCCATTGGGCCCGAACTTTCACAGTGACTGGTTCATCTGTGAGATGATGGTGGGTCAGCATGACCTTAGCAATGTTGTCTTGGCCTAAAGTCTTTAGGATGATGATTGCCTCTTCATCGTAGATGACAGGCACTGTGTGGGGCCCTGATGACTCCTTGCTGTCACTATACATTGTGGGTGGGACATTACTACAGAAAGGGAAAGAAAGCAAAGGAGGAGATGAAGTAGGAAAGCATAAGAAGTGAAAAAAAAATTTTAAAAGGAAAAAAATATAAAAAAGCAAAGACTGTATACCATACAGACAGCTAAAAATGAGAAAAACCTAAACTGCATTTAAACAAAACCCCAACCATTAAATCCGAAACCCAAAAGCCAGCTCACAGTCCAGTGAGGTGGAAGGTTCAGAGTTCAGAAATGTGTGGACGTGAAGTGAAAAAAATGTGCAAGGGAAATAGAGAGATGGCCAAGGATGGGAGTGAAAGACTGGTCCACGCCCAAGTAACTGTAAAATCGTTAACATGAAGAACCCCAACTCCAAACCAAAGGCCAACTAAGTAACAAACTAAAACATCAAATCAAAAACCACCCGGAAAAAAAAAACACAAAAAGTTAAAACAAAAACAAAAGGAAAAATACAATAAATAAAACCAGAGAATGGAAGCTAAAACTCAACCCAACCAGACCAAAACAATACTAGAAAATCAAACCTGGTGAAAGCCAGAAAGTTGTAAGTTCCACAGATCCAGAACAGTGCCAGAGGTAAACACATTCATAACAAGGAGGGAAAAAGCTGAATGAAAGTAAAATAAATACCAGAATATATTTTTTAAAAATGTGAATAAAAATGAAAACTAGGGAAAAAAAACCTACAAAGACTGAAAAAATTAAAAAAGGAACTAATAATCAATTAAACAGATACATGGGAGCAAATGAACACACACCTCAGTAAACCATGTAATGAAAAGAATAATCTAGAGACTGGAGTGATATCAGTCTACCAAGCACTTTGGTTGTAAGCATGAGGTGGGGAGTTACGGAAAATACCAGTCTCAGCACAAGGTAAGTCAATGACTGTGCATCCTTGGAGCTGGGTGGCTGGCCAGCCTAATCTGCTTGGAAACTATAGGCCAGCTAGAGACTTCACTTGAGGGAAGGACATACCTGGAGTGAGTCAGCTGAGGTGGAATTGTTACCTTGGCCAGCAAGCTTCCTTTGCATTCAAATTGGGAAGTACTTGAAAGCCAGAAGAGGCAGCCATGAGTGAGGTAGGTGGGAAGGCTGTCTCTGTATAGTTACAATTCCCTGGGGGGTTGGCTGTTTTTCTGAAACCTACATGGCTACTGGAGGCCCTTCTTGCTCTTACTTAGAACTCTCCAGAGCGGTGTGAATGTTCTGCCTAAAAAAGTTGTCACTATATGTGAGGCGGGGTAGGGGTAGCAGGAATAGAATTTCCCTTGGCTGGACTGTGGGGCGGGTGACAGTCCTGATATTGCAAATACCTCATCTACACATATTCCTCCCCAGGCTTCTCAGAGGCCCTATTGTGTGTGAAGAGCTCTCTGATGGCCTTCCAGGGGACATTGGGCATTCACTTTAGAGCAAATGTTCTGAACAGGCTTCTGCTTCTTTCGTGATTGATAACAAGTCAGAAGAAGATACAAATGGCTACAGTTATATCTGTTACCTCTGCAGAGGATACTCTGGAAAGGAAGGCAAGACCTAGAAAGTGTTCGATGGATCTTCTCTTGTTTACAGAAGGGTGGTCATCACCAATGGCTCCCCTCGACCCTGTCCTCACCTTTGGGAGCTCTTGGGTGCAAGGGCCTTTAAAAGGAACATCTGGTACATATATTTATATATATTTACTCTGCACGGGGATCCAATCTAGACTAAGTGAGTAGACAGTCTCCCCCACTGTGAGCAGACCCTAGCCTGTGTTGAGAGTTAGATGGGCTGGATTCTTTCTGGGTGATGCTTGATAGGCGCTTGCAGATTGCTGTGATGCCTAAGTACTTCCAACTTTCTGCCTATTGTTTTGAATAAATGAAGCACCTTCAGGAAAGCCCTGGAACCCATAGATGGGTGTACTGGGGTAGCAGATCCTAGTGGTCAAGAGTGTCCCTGAAGATGTCCACTGATTGTGCCATGGCTCCTGCTACCCTGATGATCTTTGGGACTATGACTGCATTTGTTCTCAATTAGATAACCCCTGCCCTGGCAGGGATGACTTTAGGCCTCTCTCCTTAAGGATGCATGTTCTCTGTATAAAGACTGTCTTATGTTTTTTATAAGGTTTACTCGGGAAGTTGCTGAGTCCCGTAGCTTAACAGTATGAACACATGTAATTTTAATTTATAAAGTGTGCACTTGGAATTCAACTTCCTTTTATTACGGTGCTAATACTTCTTTAATTCAGGTGCACTATCTTCTAAGCCAAATAATTGCCATGGCATCACTATGCCACATTTCAAAAGGTCATCACAGCTAGGCTTGTTGATAATTGATCTGTTAGTGTTATTAAATCTAAAAAAAAAAAAAATGCCTGATTATTTTTCCTGAATGGAAAAGAAGGCTGGAAAGCTTAAGCAGATGATAGGGATCAAGTAAGTTGTATAAATATGTAAAAGGTCAGAATTCAATACACTGATGTCAAAGCTCTGCTTAAATCAATGGAGTTATGATCTAGTTTCCCTAGCAATTAAAACACTGCTTAGAGAACAAATACATTCATTTAATCAAAATTTATTTCAATGTTTGGTTGTAACTGTCATTCTGGGTATTCAATAACCATACTTTGAGGTCATACTAATGTGGTCAGGAAAATTAAAATGGTGACTATATTCTCCCTTGCCCTCCAAGGTCAAGTAGGTCCTACAGATACAGGCATCTCTCAAAATGTTCTTTAACTGTTAGGAGTCACCTTTTCTTTTGTTAAAGAAGACCATGGAGATTCCACCTGGTGAGGTCTAACCAGTGTCCAGTCAACAAAAAAGAGGGTCAGTACAAAGGGGAGTTTTCTTCCATGTTTCCAAGCAGAGCCACATGGAATTATCTTCACATGGAATGAACACAGTTATAAAAGGAAAGTTAGATGATTCAGCGGTTCCTTTCAAACCCAAGTAACCCCCAAGGACCATATCCTCAACTGGCCTTGACGATAAAAATAAATGCAGCTTCCTCACAGTTAAAGAACACCTACCTGCATGGTCCTAAACACCCAGCAGGAAAGTATAACCAAAGAATAAAATGATTGGTGTACATCTTTAATGGTTTAAGGAACCACTCTGTAGACATAGGTTTAAAACCATGTGAGATGTTGGTTAGACAACCATTTCTCATTAGTGATTTTCTTCTTGATAACAAAATTGCTGCCCAGATATAAGACATCATGACCTTGGCTCAACTCAACACTGTGGTGTCTAATCTGTAGTCAAGACAGACAATCCCAATCTTATTTCAATGATCATTTGATTTTCAGGTTAAATTTCTTTTCTCTCTCCCTCTTTAGAAGCCATGTGAGAGAGACCTCACTGTGGTTCTGGTCACTCCAAGAGTTGTCAAAGTATCTGAAAACAGATTCATCACTCTCCATCCCAGCCTTGGATCAATTGCTACTATGTGGGACTTTTCTGAAAATGGTCACCTAGTTTGGTCTGTAACATAGTGTGGTCTCTAGTATTCTCTCTACTTGCGTCCTGCTTTTATGGATGGCCCTTTAGATGGAGCCTCAGATATACTGGCTGCCAAAACAAGACCAGCTCCAGGAGCCTGCCTACCTCATGGGAGTTCCCTCTCTCTTGGACTGACACCCCTCTGCCCTACTACGCCCCCTCACAGCATGAAGCAGCTAGAGCGGTCATCACCCCCTTTCCTGACAGTAGTTGGTGTCAACCTCTGAGGGCGGGAACAAAGGAAAGTTAGATGGTTATAGGTAGACTAGGAAAGCAAGAGCAGGCCTCCTGAGAGGGCTGTTTCGTATTCCCAGAAGATATTGTGAGGAGAAATGGTAAGATGTGGGAGCAGAAACAAGAGAGGGAAGGGGAGGACATAGGGACCCTAGGTAGTTCCCGTCAGAATCCCTCTAGAGGGCTTCGAGCTGTAGGTATCTCCATCCTAAAGGAATAAAGCTGTTACTTTCACGTCTCCATGGTTGAATCTTCTGTCTTTTCCAGTGTTCAGTTCTTTGTTAGTGCAAGGGAAGAACTCAGCTACCCACTGGACAAACACCATCAACCTCCTTATACAACTGCTGCGGGTGTCCTCTCCAGTGCCACACAGGATTTGAAGGGCAGTGCATTCATTAACTTTCTCTCAAATTGCAATACTAGCCTGTCTAAATCACTCAACTGTTTGACCACTGTACACACACACACGCACACGCACACGCACACGCACACACACACACACACACACACGCACATGCACACGCGTGCGCGCACACACACACGTGCACACACACCCGGGGGTGGGAGATGGGGCGATGGAGACAGAAAGAATATAAATGAATGAATGAATGAATGAATGAATGTAGATGAGCAGAGAATCCCAGGAAAGAATGCAGAATGTGAAAAAATACATAAATAAATATATTACCATCAAAGTGTGTGTGTGTTTATAGTCCAGATAACTTCAGGGGTGACTCTGTAAGACAAGAAAAGTGTACATAATGGTTGTACTCTGAACAACTATGTGTCCTCAAGAGGAAATCCGATTTCTAACAATTGTCAAGCTGTGCTGTGGGAACGCTTTCCCTGGGGAGCCACAAACAGCACCGACCCTTTACAAGGCCCCAGTGACCAACCAAAGTAGGATTCCACCATTGTCCACACTGAGGAACCAATTTAGTGGGCTAACTTGCAAAGGATGGGTGAGGGGATACTGGCAGGAGCCCGGGTGCCCCTAAAGCGGCCACACTGACATGTCTTCACCCAGCATGGAGGAGGGCTTCCCCAGACTGCACAGAGGGAGCCCCTTTCCAATTCCATGCCCCAGCCTAACACTCTGGCACATTCTGAGAATCCAGCCCACAAGACCAGGGGCAACAAGGGCAGAGGTGCACACAAATGACTCAGGAGTGGCTGGAGACTCAGAGGAGGGTCTCATGACTCACCACTCCATCCTTCCGTGAGGAAACATCAATACTCAACAAGTCCAGTTCCGACAGACCCCTGAGAGTGAAGTCATCTCATGTGAAGAAGATGGTTTGCTGGAGGGACTGTGTTCTACAGCAGCCTGACTGTTGTATTGTGGAAATCAAGTGTAATGGAGGGCAGTTGGTGGGAACCAGTTTTCTCACTAATGGAGCAGAGGGCGGCTACACTAACCACTGAACCATGAATGTCTCTCACTGCTGGAAGGTACAAATGAAGGGGAAGAAGTTCAGATGATCCATGGGATGATGCAAAAGAACTGCAGACGGCATGAACTCATCTGTAGACTGAGAGAGATGGTCGTAAAAAGAAATATTTATAATCAGGTAATCTTTACACACATGTATTTCTTGCTTGGTCAGCTACCAGAGCCTAAACAAAATAGCAATAAGCAAGTATAGCATGATGTGTTGGTTTCAAATATTCTCTCACAAAAGGGACCAGGGCTCCTTGATGAAATAGCTACTTTGGGGACACAAAATGTACAGAAGACGCCTAGAGCACATTGTATCACAGTGCCATAATATAAGTGTAAGGGGGGAGGGGAGGGGAGAGTATGAGAGAGAAATATCTGTCAGACCCTCTGAATAGCCAAAGCTTGAACACTCTGAGGAAGGTAATAAACCACCAGGATTGAATAATAATCCGAACCATAAAATTCTACTGGATATTCTGTCTGAGCCCATATTGATAAATGATTAGATAGCAGGAGTAAAGATAGAGACGGTATTTACATAGGAGCATTCAGAATAATTCATGGGGACCCTCGGGCCCAAGGACAGGGAGTGTGTAAGTTCTTGTCTGAAACACCTGTTCCAGAGTCCCTTCCTCCCAGAGTCCAGTCCAGAAAAGGGGGGGAGGAAGAGTAACTTCACCCCAGCCAGGTGCCTACAGTGAACCCGTGGCTGCACCGCTCACATGACCCAGTGAAAATGAACCTCCCCCTCTGCAGCCCTCTTCCTCAGCACTGACACTTTCAGTCTCAGCATGAGAAACCCCGGATGAACCAAATGGAGACATTCTGCACGCCACCTGACCAGGACATGCCAAAAGGTGTCAGTGCCATCAAAAGCAAGGGCCATCTTGGAGACATCCACTCTGCAGAGGACCCCAAGGAGACCTGAAAGTGGGGTGCAGTGTAATGGACAGGATGAGGCACTGTAAGTATGAAAGGGCATTCGGGAAAGTCACGAATCTGAACAAAGCATGGTGGATAATACGGGATAGGCGTGGCTTCGTGAATCTGGGTAAACGTGGCACATTCAGAAGCTCATGATAGGAGCATGGGTAAGAGGATGTCTCTAAACTTTCTACGGGCCAGAAATGATTCTAAAATGAAATTCTGGACAAATAGTGGGGGGGAAGGCAAGGGAAAGCAAGTGTTAGTCAACATTAGGGCAGGCTTGAGGAAACAAAGGCCACAAGCCAAACGCAGCCCACTGGCTGTTTCTGGGGGATCGGGATCAGCTGATGTTCAGCAATGCCCATTCTTCTACAGACTGTCTGTGGTTGCTTTTCCACTACACTGCTGGAGCAGTTACACCAGAGACCATGAGGCCGCAAACGTTAAAATGCTCATCAAGTTGCTCCCAGATGAGGATGAACAACAGAAATGAACATCAAAACATGGGCTCCAACAGGGAGCTCACGCTAGCAATAACAGGGTCCGGGAGAACTTCATGTATGACGGTCCATGACTGCCCTGGACAGAGTTAGGTCCATCCCTGTCACTTTCCAGAAGCTTCCTTCTCATCCAGTCATGTTCTTCTTACACTGCACAATACTTCTCAGAGCCAGGACCTAGTAGCATTTTCTTAACTGCTCTGATCTCAGGAGGAAACAAATGTTGTTCTGACATCACCCAGAGGTGCTGTGATCACATCCCCAGGCTGTTCACATTTTCACCAGTGGGTTCCTATGCTGAGTAGTCACCTTTTGGGAGGACAGGCTGGAGACCACCCAGACCCAGGAGTGGAATCGGCCCACTCCATCAAGATAATCCCTCAACTGAAACCAGCAAGGAGTCTCAAGGCCACCAAAGTCAACTAGATGTGATGGCAAAGATGTGGGACCATTTATGAATGTTTCTTTACTCTTTGAGGACCACATAACAAAGCACTGGTTCCAGTTTGGTGGCATCACTGACTGAGCATGTGCTATTCACAGTTGCTCATCCATCTTGAGCTCACTGAGGACCAATCCTGAGGATCAAATTCTAGCACACCAGGAAGGGCAAAGCACGATATAAAGAGTCCAGGTCCTTGGAAACATCAGTAAGTTGCTGACTAGTGGCACTGTTCCTAGAGATCTTTTTGTGTGAAATAATAAATTCTGTCATCAAGTACATCATGTTCAAATATTCTGCACGATTCTACTCTAGTTGAAAAAAATGGGTTTGATTTTTGACAATTTAAGAAACCAAAACTGTAACAGTGCTGTTATTTATATTATGTCTTTAATATTTAAAATGTATTCCAAATATGATTGTGCCTCTACATTGCAAGAATTGTGCATGAGAAATGATTCCTTGTCCCCAGGAATGGAAAGTTACAAATGGAAATGCACACTGTAAGGAACAAGGACACGGGTTGTGACAAAGGACCCTCCCTGAGCAAAAGTCAGGCAAAACTTACCTGAAGCAGCAGCAGAACAGATAAGCCCTCGCCCTGAGCAAAGTACACCCGTGTGCAAGCATGGCATCCTCACTGCAACCTTTTGAGATGGGAGCAGGTATCCTCACCTGATAATGACCAAAACCATAGCAGTGAACTCAAATAACTTGCCAGATCAAGTCAGTGAATGTTGGAGCTGGCACTGCATGAAGCTGGGCACACACCTCCACAGTGCTGCTGTGCCCCTGGTACAGCGTGCTGCTGTTCTCATGATACCCACCCTCTCCAATCAGCCAGTGCAGGCCTGCGATGGGAAGCCTGGTCTCTAGAAACCCAACCAACCAGGGACACAATTCAGTTCGTACCAGCTTCAGTTGGCCATTCATCCTGTCGCTTACACGAAGAAAAATCTGACATGGGTACTGGGTATATGGGCCAAAGGTCAGTCTCTCCCATGCTCTCCCCCACAAGCATGACCTGAGAACTGCAGATGAATGAGGGGAGCTGACTTTTCTCAATCAGATCCCCTGCTCGATCCTGGCCAAAGGGAAAGCAGAGAGCTGTTTCCGTTCCTCCCACAAGTGATTCTCAATTCAGAGATCAAAGTCCACAGCAAGCAGCAGCCACTGCCAGCCTAGAAGGCAAAGGGGAGGTGCTGGCAGGGGGGTGGGGTGGGGAGTGCAGCACTAGCCACATTCTCTAGCTGGCAAGTATGTTCTCCAACAAAAATTATCTAAATGTCTTTTTAAACACTGATGTGGGGATAAATTACTCTTTTAATTCTGTGCACATGTGACAAACAGGCCTAGAAGAAAATGAGCAGTGCCATCTTGTGACAGCGTGAATAAACACCAATTAGGTGAAAACTATGGAAAACTGAAATCATAGTAGACCATAAATCTCAAAATACCTCAGCAGGAAGACGTGCTCACGGGAACACAGAACTGTGACCATGTGATGTCACCACTACTCAATGTGATTGGCAGACTGATTTGCTCCTAATTCCTGATCAACATTGTGGGAGGCCAGCTCCCACTTTTCAAAGGGTTCCTATGAGGAGGAGAGAAGAATAAGAAACATTTAGATAGAAAGATAGCAGAGAGGAGCCAACCAGAAACACAGGATAGCTTCGGGAGGACCTGGGTCAAAATCTACTGGTCCCTTCTGTCTCTTCAAAAGAGCCTTTTATAACAATGCCAAGGGGCAGGGCAAAAGACCTCCCCCTTTCTAGACCAAAGTCTACCTCACAGCCAAGTGCAGACCTTTCCAAACATGTGATAACCACGCCTGTGGTCCGATCCTTCCCCTATGCAGCCCTGCTGGGTAAAGCAAGCTCAGATCTCACTATGAAACTTCTGTGGGCCTCCAAACAATCATACACAAATAAAAAACCTAATCCTCAAATACATAGGGAATGGACTCAGAAGAGACAAAATAATACTTATAAAAACCTAGGTCGGAGAAAATATGTTTCTTGCTTGAAATTCTCTTCAAGGCTACCATCGGTAACAACCGCAGCAGAAAAGTCAGATACACAGTTTGGAAGTGGAGGGTGACTTATGTGTCGGTGTCTGGGCACACTGCATCTTTCCCACAGCTTACTCCTGGTCTAAAACCTCCAGTGACCTGTCCATGTGTCCTCAATTCTTGGTTGACCATGCACTCACTGGCCCTTCTGAGGACACTGTCGCACCCTACGCTCAGCAGAAAAGTACAAAGAACTAACCTCATATTTTCCCACATGAATACTTTAAATCCATGCTGGGTGTAACCTGAGCTGGGAAGCAGAGGATGCAACGCTTTAGAGCCAACCCCCAAATGACATCTGTCTAGCCCATTGCAGAGGGTCACTCCAAGGACTGCTTGGCCTCACATCTATGCACATGAATGTAGAAGCAGCTAACATATCACTCTTTATGAAATAGAGGAAGCTGGGTACGCACACATAGGGACTCTTTAAATACTGGCTAGAAAGCCAATCCTTTAATCCTTATTGCAATCATGTACTCAATTCAGCATATATATATATATATATATATATATATATATATATATATATATATATATATTTTACTTATAATATCCTACTTGAGTGAAAAATCCGAGGGGTAGTTCAACTACATTATGAAAACAGATTCTCAACAGCAGGTGACTGCCAACCCAAATGTGGCCCCCACGATGCTTCTGCATCATGGATTTTGTCAAACGGCACACAGGAAGGCTCTTAAAGACATGAAGCAGCTGACAGGCAGAAGCTGAAGGAGGCTGTCCTATCCAGCTCTTCACGTGACACTTCTGAGGTCTGTCCTTCCTAGCTTGGCCCACTGCTTCATGTCACACTCCACTGCTGTCCCACAGCCACTGCTAGGTATCAGGCCCCGCCTTCCTCTACAGTCCCTGGCAGCATTCCACATACATGGCTAGCTACCAGGCCCTGCTGGCTGCCCAGCTGCCTCTGCTCCCCAGCTCTTCTGGTCATGTATGTGGGGCTTCAGCAGCAGGGGTGTCGGAGTGGGGACCCAGGAACAGGGTGTCAAGCAGGGCCTGATAACTAGTAGTGTATGTGAAGTCACAGTGGGGGAGGGGGAGGGATGGCGTACCTAACAGAGCCTGAACCTTAACATTTTCTGAGGGAGGGGTGAGGGGTTCAGGAGGATCTGCTATTTTTCATTGTTTTTGTGGGGATGGTGTCCCTCATGGTCTGATTGCTAGGAAGGTAAGTTTAGTAGTCAAGTATCTCTCAGGACCTGAACCCTAGATGCATATTTGGGGTGCTGGTCAGGTGTCCAGCAGCACCCAAATCCTTAGTCTTAGATGTAAAGTAGGGAGCGGGTGGTGTCCAGTAGGGTGTGATAACCAGCATTCTGGCATGGCCTGAAACACAACAGTCTTTACAGACAGTGAGGGGGCTGGGAGTGTGTCCTCTAGCATGCTATCTGGAGCAGGAGGGAGTCAGTAAGACCTAATTCATAACAGTGTATGCATGGCTTGAGGGGAGCATCCAACAGAGCCTGGCATCTAGCAGCGGATGTGAAGGAGGTAGCATCAAGCCCTGGTATCTACAAATGTGTATGTACTAGGGGTGTGTCCAGGAGGTTAATTGATGCCTTCCAGTGTATTGAGGTTGTCCAGCAAGGCCAGCCACTTACATGTATTGGTGAAATTATTAAGGCCACTCCACGTAGTTCAAAGGGAGATTTATTTAATGACGTAACTTACAAATGAAGGAAGAGGTAGGTTGTGGGTTCTGTGAAAGACACAGCGCAGTCCGGCGGTGTTCTCTGGGGAACGCTCCCCAGTCTACCTCTAGCGTCCACGGTCCAAGAAGGAAGAGTGCGGCGCATCCCAATCTTGGGTCTTCAGGGCCCTCCCTTCACCCCGCCGTGTAGGTGTGACAGTTACTGAAGTCTCAATGGGGGTTGGAACTTCCAGATCAAAGCTGGAATGGCTACCCACTACAACATGTGCTGGACATGCCCTTTCCTGTGGCTGACCATATAGACTGCTACTTTTCACACTATGTTGGGAAACCCATTCTACCACTCCAT